TCTGCAGCCTACCAGCTCCTGCCTCTGATGTAACAGCTGTTAAGTTTTTGTACATTTTTCCTTAATTTTTTATGAAGATTTATTTACTGATGAAGTCTCACTCTGTCACCAGGCTGGAGTGCAGTGGCACGATCTCAGGTCACTGCAACCTCTGCCTACTGGGTTCAAGTGATTCCCCTGCCTCAGCCTTTCAAGCAGCTGGGACTACAGGCATGTACCCGGTAATTTTTGGTATTTTGGTAGAGACAGGATTTCACCATATTCACCAGGCTGGTCTTGAACTCATGACCTTGTGATCTGCCCGCCTTGGTGTCCGAAAGTGCCAGGTTTACAGGCGTGAACCACCTCGCCCAGCGGGTTTTATTTTTTTCAATGTATTCTCTATTTTTTAAAAAAAATTTCTTCCCCAGTTTGCATTGGAGATGTGAATCTTTTCCAGTTTTTTTCTTATGTCTCACCACTGACTTTTTCTCTGTCTCATGCATGAATACATATGCATATATATGTGTGTATATATATTCATGTATGGTGTATATTATGTGCAAAAATATATTTTTCTGTTCAGTTGTTAGCAATTATAATTCTCTATTTAGACAGGTAATATTACCTGTTTCTTCCCAAATCTCGTCACTGACCTCAACTAGGTAGTCCCTGGAAAAATGGAAACATCTGTATTAATGCAGCTTTCATATCTCATCAATGTCACATTTGATTTAATAGTTCTTAAAGCTTGTGATGGATCTGCAGTGATGGAAATTTGCACTGAACCATTTCCTATCTTAGTGGGTATTTGTTATAAACAGGATAACGCTCTCATTTTTATTCTCTAATTTTCAGCTGTTCCCGAGTTTTGCGGGGCTTGTCAGTTGCCTTCCAGGTGCTAACTCTCATGACGAGATAATAAGAATGGGTGTGACTGGGTGTTGACTGATGAGCCAGAACACATTTAATCCTGGAGTCTGAGGTTATCAGAACACCCCACTCAGAAAATCATTCTTCATAGATTTTCATACAACACATTGGTGAACATAAAATGCTTCTTTTTTCTTCATCTCTGAGTGAACAGCCAGGCTTTCATGTGTACATTCACAGAGAGATCTTAAAGAGATTCGGAAATTAGTAAGTTTGTAACTTAGTTGCATACAGAGAAAAATAGTAGATAATATAGACAGCTGGTGACAGAAGACTTTATACAATTACTGTGAGTTGTACTCTTAGAGATCAACTTTTAAAAATTAAATTTATACTAAGGCAAATTAAACTTTAATCTGGAACAAATTTAAAATTGCTGAAAATAGAAATTGTTGAATATAGAAATTGTGGCTGACACAGGAATAGTAAGAATGGGTGGGACAGTACTTCATGTCAGGGTAGGAATCTCATTTTATTCTGAACGTGTTAGTTTTGACCCTCTTCATCCTGAAATTTTCACTCTCAAATATATTTGGAAGGCAGGTCTTTTTTCCTCATTTAACATTTATTTAATACACAGAGAATAATACTGAGGGTCTGGGATTCCAGTTTTGAAATGAAACATGGACTCTGAGTGACCCTTGTCCTTGTCAAAGTGCACTGGTCTAGATAGCAGCAGTTGGACCCCATAGTGTGGCACGTGTTCCTGTGTTCATTTGCATATTCTGATGACCTGTCGCTGAGGTCACATGATGATGTATATCCTGTCTTCATCCCAACTGACAATGTGTTTCAACTGTCAGCTAGACTACTAGTCAAGATGGGAGGCCTCTGTTCCTGCCTTGGAGGTATGTTCATTTCCATCTTCCCACTGCAGTTTCTTCAGATTTTAGGCCACTTCTACTAAAAATGTCTTCCTGAATTATTCTTTTCCCAGGTTTGTACATCCAGTTTGTCTACAGATGTACAAATTTGCTTTAGAGTTTTATGTCTCAATTTGTATTTTTGATTCTGCTATAAATCTTTTTGCTTTAAATATTTTTCTCTGTTTAGAAAAATGTACTGTTTCCTAGGCCAATTTAGTTCACACATTCGTAGAATAGATCCAGAAGAAACACAACAACCTTGCCTTAATCATGTCAGGGGATCTCGATACCAAATACAGTAGGAGCCATTCCGTGAAAGGCAGAGAGACTACAGGCCAACATCTTCTAAACTGAGTTGTGAAACTCCTAAATCAAATTGTGGAAAAGCTTGACTCCAGAGAGTTTTAGAAAATAAACGGAGATTTTTCTGAAGGAGAAAGTATCGTAGTTAAGAGGTTTTGGGGGATTGTTTTAAATTAAAGACATTTTAAAAAGATAAACACAATCAAGGGGATATAAAAAGTTACAAAATAGAGGAAAATTAATATTAAAGGTTATAAAAGGTAGTGAAAATTTTACTTTGCAGTCAAAATGGACTGGGTTAGATAGATTTATTTGTAAGGTGTTATCAAAATTAGCGACAATATTAAAAATACACTAATACCAAACTACAATTTTGGTTTAAAAAATAAGCTTTTGTTAAGATAGATAATTTGTTCTCAGTGAAATACAACAGGTAATAATTTTTCATCCTGAAATCTGTTTTTTCTTTTAAACTTCTCAGATTTATACCTCAGAGGTTCGACTTTTACTGTGTCTCTTTACATGTAATTTACATGTCCCACATCATTGCCTTCTGTTTCTTTTCTCCTGGAAAAGGTGCATCTTTACACTTGACTTGGATGATAACTCTCGCCTTTAAATTTTCATCAGCTTCATTAACTCACTTCCCCCCTCCAAGCTGGGTTCTAATTTTGCTGCTGTTTTGCTAAACTCCTTATTTTTAAAGGCCCCAATTACTAATGTTGGTCTCAGGTGTAACATGATTTTGTACTCTTGGCCTTTTGATATGTCTTAATGTTTCAGGTGAGCAGGAAACAACCCATGTTATTAGTTAGAGCCACATATTCCCCTGCTCAAGTTACTAGCTCTTCTGCTTACATTCCTCTGTAATTCAGCATTCACTCATGACTGAACACATGCTGTGTCTCATTAAATGTGAGTGCCCTTCTCATCAGGTGTGACTTCTAAGGTATTCAGTAGACTTCATTTAAACACTGCTCACTTTCAGGCAGGCTCAGAGGGTTGCTCAGATGGGTAGTCAGTGAGACAGTGGGGGTCACAGATTTAATTCATTAAGTCACTTAAGCGCCAGCCCTGATGGCCATATTTTCAGTTAACTGCTCATGCAGGGTTGGTCAGTTGAAGGGAAGCTGATTCTTGGCACAGACATCAAGTGGCAGTTGGCTTAGAATGTTCTGAGTTTTAGAACATCTTGGGGGCCAAGCAGACCCCTGTTCCCTCAGGATGGTCACTGGTCATGGGGGTGTTTACCGCCAGGCAGCTGGCAGTGTGAAGCTGCTGGGGAGGATGGCCTGACATTTGAATTTGTTCATCAGGGAGGCTTTGTTTGCAGGAAAGTGTCATATTTTAAGTCAAGAATTAAAATCTAGAGACAGAAGTTTTGTTCGAATGATTTGAGCTCTTCTCTGGACTTAGCCACCTACCGGCATCCACCTTCCTGAAGAGACCCTGGGGAGGAGGATTGAGAAAGGGAGTGAAAGAAACTCCTGGTTTAGGGTCTAGGCCGGGATTTAGAGGTCTCAGGTATTCAGAGACCTCTTTCCTGGAGAACCATCTACATTCTTGTCCCAAATCCTTCAACCCTGAGTGCTGTGACTCTAGGCAGGTCGCTTCAACTCTCTCATTTCACTTCCCTGAGCTGTCAACTGTGGGTGGTGGGCCCTGGCCTGCCCATTTAGCTGGGCCTATGTGGGCATCACAGGAAATAACAGATACTGTCCATGAGTGCTGAAGCATCAGGCCCATGTGAAGGAGGAAGAAAATTTTATTCTCTACTATTCTGGAGTCCTGTCCCCCAGCACCTTGTCATATTAACCACTGCCAAGGGCCTGGCTTACTTTCAGACATGTAATGATTGAACATGAACGGCACTCAGCAGGCACTGCATTGCTTCAGGCATTACCTCTGTTTAATTACTTTTGGCCTTAGGACATAACATAGCCCATTATGAACATGTGACACTCAGAAGAGGAAACTGAGGCACAGAAAGGTCTATAGAACTCCTCAGGTTCAAGTATTTCCAAATAAGGACCAGACCCTTGTGCACCAGGCCCTGTGCTCTTGGTCACTCCATCTACCACCTTTCTACGTTGTCTCATCTCAGCACAGGGGTTTGCCTGCACAGTCGGTCTGCACAGTTTTCAATGCAGCCCACAGTGCAAGTTCTTCCTAATGCCCAACTCAGATTCAGGAGGCTTATCCCTGCAGGTGGTGGACAGTGGGCCATGGATCAAACATGGAGCCCAGTGGTCCCCAGCCTTTCTGAGAGCAGGAGGGACCAGTTTCATGGAAGATAATTTTTCAGTGGGGTGGGGTGGAAGGGTGCTTTCAGGAAGATTCCAGCACATTTATTGGGCACTTTATTTCTATTATTATTACATTTTAGTTAATAAAATAATTATCCAACTCACCATGGGCTCCAAACTCAGTGGGAGCCCTGAGCTTGTTGTCCTGCAACTAGACAGTCCCATCTGGGGGTGATGGGAGAGAGTGACACATCATCAGCCGTTAGATTCTCACACAGCGCATGCAGCCCAGATCTCTGTGCAGCTCACAGTAGGGTTTGCGCTCCTCTGAGACTCTAATGTTATGGCTACTGTGACAGGAGGCGGAGCTCGGGCGGTGACGGGAGTGATGGGGAGTGGCTGTAAACACAGATGCAGCTTTGCTCCAGCCAGCTGCTCACCTCCCGCTGTGCAGCCCGGTTCCTAACAGGCCACAACTATGTGTGGCCCAGAGGCCAGGGACCCCTGATTTAACCTATTTCCCATTTAGAAAATAAAAGTGCAGCTTGCTGGCAGCACGGTATTCTTGGGGACACAGGAAACGGGTTAAACTGTGAATAAATGATTACTCATTTCTCTATGGTCTTCTGCAGCAAGATGCCAACAGCTGTCTTTATTTTAATACATTTCCCAGAATGTTGCCTCGAAGAAGAAGGGATTCCTTCAGAATTTGAGCAAAGACAGTTAAAGGAAATATAACCCCACTCCCGACCATTTTATCATCTTAGCACCGCCCGTCTGCCACCTGAAGGTACTGTGGAAACTCAGTTTCTCACTCTTGCAAGCATAAGGATTCCAGATTCTTCCGTGTCCCACACTACAGACAACTCTACAACTGCTGCACTTTATTCCTCTTTATTTCAGGTGTTCAAATTGAAATGTATCAAGTCAATCACTAGTGCTACAAATGCAGAAGATGTATTTCCACTTCCAGCTTGGTTCGCTTTTAATAGTAAAGAACATCTCAATGCAAGGTTTAGATATTTAGCTGATTGTTAGACAGTAGCTAAAATGGAACTCTTCCTGAGATAGTGTGGCCCCATTTTCAAACAAATGGACATCATGTGAAACTTGTAAATGAACATAAAAGTTGAAGTACTACAGAAAGTTCCCAGACGCCCTCCCCACTCAGTACCCTTTTTGTGATCACAGCTTACACGAATGTGGTGCATTTGTTACAGTGGTTGAACCAATAGTGATATCTTCTTATTAGTGAAAGTCTGGAGTTCACATTAAGGCTCACCCTGTGTTGTTCAGCCTGTGGATTTTGACAAACTCATGTCATTCATCACCCAGACAGAAGAGTTTTGCACCCAAAACATGACCTGTGCTGCACCTCTTAATCCCTTTCCTCTATTCTCAGGACCCCTGACTGCTATAGATCATTTATTTTACTGCCTCTATACATTTTTCCCCAAAATTTTATAGAATTGGAATCATAAAATATGCAGCCACTTAGGACTAACTGATTTCCCTTCACAATATACATGCAAGATTTTTCATGTCTTTTAGTAGAATGGCTTACTCATTTTTACCAGTGGGTCACATTCCCTTGGGTCCATGTAACGGTGTGGGTTGGTGCACGCACCTCCTGAAGAGCATCTCAGCTGCTTCCAGTTCAGGCGATTATGAATACACGTGCCCTCATTCTTGTGCGGATTTTGCAATGGGCATAATTTTAAAATTTAATGGGGTAAATGTTTACAATTTTAATCGGTTGTTTATATAATAAGACTATGTTTTCATAGGAAGAATTCAGTAAAGTCACATGGGTATTTTTTTTATGTTTTTATTTATTCAACTTCTATATTATAATAGATGTAAGCCTACTCAGATTATCAGAGTCTTCTTTGGGTAGTTATGATATAGTTTCTGCCTTTCTGTCATTTACATCTAGGCTGTCAAATCTGTGAGCGTAGATTTGTTCTAAGTATTCTTTATTATCTGCTTGGTATTAATCGGATCAGCAGGAATCACTCCTCTGTTTATATATATTTTTTGTAAATTGTGTCTTCTAGCTTTTCTTTCTGGTGAGCCTGGCTGGAGGATTATCAATTCTATTTATTTTTTTCTATGAAGCAGCTCTTTTTTTTTTTTTTTAGTTCTGTTTATTTTATTATTTCTATTATAATGATTTCTGCAAATTGTTTTGTTCTATTTTTATGTCTGGGTTACATTACACTATACTTTTTTCTCTAGTTTCCTAGGTGGAAGGTAAGAACACTGAATTAAGATTGTTTTTAGTTTTTTCTTTTTTAAAAAGATGGAGTCTTGCTCTGTCTCCAAGGCTGGAGTGCAGTGGCAGGATCTCAGCTCACTGCAACTTCCACCTCTCAGGTTCAAGCGATCCTCCTGTCTCATCCTCCCGAGAAGCTGGGATTATAGGTGACCACAACCATGCCTGGCTAGTTTTTGTATTTGTAGTAGAGATGGGGTTTTACCAAGTTGGTCAGGCTTGTCTCAAACTCCTGACCTCGGGTGATTCACCCACCTCAGCCTCCCAATGTGCTGGGATTCCAGGCACGCACCAGCACATCCAGCCTGCTTTTAGTTTTCTACACAGCGTTGTGAATGGAACTAATGCCACTGAAGTGTGCATTTAATAAAATAATCCATATTGTGTATTTTTCACCACAATAATAAAATTCAATGATATAGATGATAAATGCAGCAGGAGCACACTTAGATTCAGGAACGTTAAACATTGTATCCTTTTTTTAAAAAGAGGATATTTACCAGGCCTCTTTCTGTGCGGAGACCCTGTCCTGGAGTCATGCCGTGCACTTGTGTGCTGCCTATGTGAACTCTGCCTATTTCACAGTGATGAGGGTGGCTTAGCCAGAGACCCGAGGCTCTGTCCCTCAGGGCTCTCCCGATGGTGTCATTTGCCTTCCTTCACCACCAAGGAGGGTGGCCCAGCAGCAGCTCAGCCCCTGCTCCTACCCCACCTCCTTTGCACATGCCAGCCCTGTGTCCTCAGCACCCAGGGCTGCCAGAGGGCCTTCAGCAGCTCCCATGGCTGACAGTGACTCTATGTTTCCTAGAATTCCCAATACACTGGAAGGAGTTCCATCCTAAAAATTTCTGGCAACGCATCAAGGCTTGTCACTCCGTAAGTCTTCTTTCTTTGTCTGAGATGGAAATTTTTTTTTTTTTGAATTAAGATATACAAATCTTACCATGAACATTATAGATGAGTCATAGAATCTCCTGGTGGGCAAAGGTATGTGAGTGTCCATTACCAGCTTGGAACTTGTTCCAGATGGCACCCAGAGAGGACAGCTTCACTGACAAACTGCATGGCCGAGAGCATTTTTTTCAGGGGAAATGCATTCTTCTGGAAAATAGTGGTGACTTTCCAACAAAATCACTTTGAAAACCTTATGCAGAATTCTTGTGCCTTTCTGCAAGTGTCCTCTAGGCTTTATATGGGGGTTATTGCCTTGAGAACTATTTCCCAACTGGTTTTCTAATGTCACCAAGTGAAGAAACCCATGCACATGGGACACAGCATCGTCTGAGGCTGACGGTGTTTTCCTTTCTCTCTGCAGATGATATCAGCTGTGCAGAAGCATGGTACGTGCCATAGGATCACCCCTTTGCTCATGGAAAATTGTAAGAAAGGGGACACATTCCTCCCTGCTCTTGCTGGAGAGTCACACGAATTTGAGCTTCCTGCTGGAAATTAGGTTTGGGTGGTTTGGTGTAAAAAAAATGGAGAACTTAGTTAACAGCTGTGGCCATGCACTCTAGTTCCCAGAAGCAGTGATGTCATTTAAATAGGAACGGGGGTGCATCAGGGTGGGGAGGCATGGAGGAGAGAGTCTATGTGGAGTGATGGGGAATGTCTTTGGAAGTGTGTGTGCACTCTAAAAACCGTGGTCCCCTGTGCAAAGCACGACCCAAGGATCAGTGTTCTAGAAACCAAATTCCATCCCCGCTGCACACTCGACATCAGTCAACACTTTCATGCTTCATCACAGCTATACCTGAAGGGTAGTTTAATATCCCCAGTCCTCAGATTGGAGAGTGTGGAGAAATGAACTCTCCGTTTCCTGAATGGAAGAGGAAAATGTGAACTCAGGAATGGGTGAAAGGTTGATGTGATGGGCTGCTACTCTGCAGTCCTTGCGTGGCCCTGATGTAACGCATCACCACACCAGGGAATGCCAGCATCTGTGTGTACATGTGGAAGGATGACAGCCTAGAGAGGTCCCAAATGCTAGCCATGAGTACAGGATGTTGTCAGTGATGATGAAAGGCAAGGTAGCAGTACGGTGGACTTTGGGGTGGTCATTAATGTGAAACACACATGGGGAGTCACAGGCTTTTGGCTGCAGTGGTGGGGTCATTTCTCAGCTCCTGTTCAAAAGCAGAGAATAATCAGGGACATGTCCTATTGTATTTAAAAATATGATTGGACCCAGTGGGGAGGCTCATGCCTGTAGTCCCAGCACTTTGGGAGGTTGAGGCAGGAGGATCACTTGAGCCCAGGAGTTTAAGATCAGCCTGGGCAACATGGTAAAACCACATCTTTACAAAAAGTAGAAAAATTAGTCAGGTGTGGTGACGTGCTCCTGCAGTCCCAGTTCCTCAGGAGGCTGAGGCTGGAGGATTGCTTTGGCCGGACAGGTTGAGTCTTCACTGAGCCATGATTGTGCCACTGCACTCCATCTGGGAAACAGAGTGAGATCCTGTCACAAAAAAAAAAACAAAACAAACCAAAAGAAAAATCATGATGACCACAGCCTTAGAAATGCTCCAGCTTAGTAACACAGACAACAAGAGACAGGGTGTTAGCTTGGTGCCCACCTTCCCTCTGGAATCTCTAACAGCTGGGTTAGAGAGGGTCAGCACCCCCACGTGCTGCCCCCATGACAGGCTGTCCCAGCGTCGAAGCGAGTGTGAGTGTGAGCAGTAAAGGACTCCGCAGACACACACACATGGTGTATGGAAAACAGAGTGGAAGGACAGATAGCACGTGCTAAATAGGGGTCATCTTTAAATGGGAGGAAAACAGATTTTCAAAGATTTGATTCATTGTCCTAAAAACAAATGGTTAGTGAATAAAGAGAATATTTTGGTTAGAATTAAATAGTCTCTTTAAAGAAAGGTTGCTTTTTCTTTTGAGACAGAGTTTTGCTATTGTTACCCAGACTGGAGTGCAATGGCACGATCTCGGCTCACTGCAACCTCCGCCTTCTGGGTTCAAGCAATTCTCCTGCCTCAGCCTCCCAAGTAGCTGGGAGTACAGGCATGCACCATCATGCCCAGCTAATTTCTGTATTTTTAGTAGAGACGGGGTTTCACCTTGTTGACCAGGATGGTCTCAATCTCTTGACCTCATGATCCACTCACCTCGGCCTCCCAAAGTGCTGGGATTATAGGCATGAGCCACCCCGCCCAGCCAAAAGGTTGCTTTTTAACAATTTTATTTTTCTCTCTTGTTCGAGTTATAGAAATGTTGCTTTTTATCAAGTAGAAAACCTCTAAGAGGGATGATATTCACAGCAGCACCACAGGTGGATTCTAGAGATGAAATGACTTTGGAAGGACCCAGGAAGGGAGGGCAAGTGAGCTCAGGTCAGATTAGGAGGCAGGAGCCCTGAAAGGCTGCAGGGACACACAGCCTGCCCTGGGTGCTGTGCTCTGTTCAAGATGGGCTATTTCATGTTGATGAGGCAGTCAGGGCTAGAAAATCTTTCTTCCCTGCTCCTCCCCACACCTGCTAACAGTCACTCTGTGTCCTCCCAGCTAACTGGATTGCATCATTAAAGGGTCACCTCGCTGACAGAACATCAAGTGGGGAAGCCTCATCATCTGTTAAGGTCAGGCCACCTGGCTTTGTCTGACAAAAAGTTACTTTCTTAACTTTATCTAATTGAATTAAAATAATATATGATTATATGATTATAGCTGACTTATACAGTGTCTTTGGTGGGGACAATTTCAAGTGAGAGTGTTCCTCACTGAGGCTCAATGTTAGACAGGAGGAGAAAATGGCAGCATCAGCCACGCACTGAGTGGCTGTGACCTTTTTCCTTAGACACTTGATTATCTCCTTGGAACAAAGTCACTTAATTGCCAAGCGGCATGGACTTAGAGGAAACACCCTCCAAGAAAAACTTGTGTCGTTAGCATGAGTGGGTTTGTCCTGTTCTTCTTTTGGGTTCCTTTGAGTTGAACACCTTTTGCCATCTGATTCCTAGTGTCAACAACTGAGGAAAAGACCTGTGCACACAGGACACAGCATGGGCTGGTGCCCAGGCAATATGTTTTCTGTCATTACAGGAGGCCAGAAAAGGGGTACGTATGGGGGAATCCTCCCGTGTGGATGAATAATCCAGATGATGAGGAACGTGTGTCTCGCTGGCTTTCCTGTACACAGGCAGCCGGAGTTGAGCTTCCTGTTGTGAATGAGGACCTAGGCCGTGATGGGAGAAGTGGCTGTTCCAGATAAGGATCGATGGGCACATTCTGCGGTCCCTGAGAGCAGCAGCGTTCTCTGTCTGTGGGGTGGGGTTGTGTGCACGGGAGTGGTGTGTGTCTGTGTGAATGTGTGTAGTGTGACCCTGACTGTGCCTGGCTGTGTGTGGGTTTCCCTAGGTACATGTCTCTCCCTTATTAGTGTCCACATTCTTAGTGAAAAATGCCTCACTCTTGTAGCCTGACGAGCATAGGTAATTATTAGTAAAAATGTCAGCTTACGACGTGCGTAGTTTATGCATGCAAAGGACACTTCAGTTACCCAAAGGAAATCCTGTCCACACCTAAGCAAATGTTCATTGGGTGCTAATGGAACAAACCTGTCTCAGGATCCTAACTAATTCATTATTTTTTCATTGGGAATCTGCTTCTAAACCTCATTTTCAATAAATGTCACCTGGTAACAAGCCTTCCTGTTCCTCCTGGCATTGGAGTGGTCATGACACCTCACTGTGGCCACTTCCCTCCTTCACAAGCCTTTTCTACTAAAGCCTTCAGAATTGATCCTCCATGACCCATTTTCAGCATGGAGAGTGGGGTGGGGCTCCTTCCTGTGCAGGGAGACCCTGAGGCAGCCCCATGCTATGACCAGTTTTGGTAGGAGACTGAGAAAAGAGGAGCCTGAACGCAGGGTTGGGGTAAAATCACCCGACTCTCTTCATTGCGGCCTCATATTGACCATCAGCTAATGTGGCCCAGAATAGATAATGCCGGGGCAATGTAGAGGCCCAGCCTCCAGCACTCAGCCTAGTCATGGTTTCTGTGTGCTTGGCTCAGGGAACACAGCAAGAGGACAAGGAGACCAAGGGCTTTGCCCGAGGGCCTGAGAGGCAGGGTGAGCCCCTGCCTTCCTCCCAACAGGATGTGGGAGGCTCATGCATGAGGTGGGAAAGACAGCAGAGGCTCCATGGTGCTCCTGTTGCACCCACTGTTGACAAACGTTCTTCTTTGCCACAGAGCCCTGTGAAAAAATAAGTCAAGGTGGTTTATTTCAGTCCACATGAATATAAAATGAGCCAAATTATGGTTTGAGCTCTTTTGGATTGTGCATTTGGTAGAAACTTATTGTATGCAATTTGCATTGCTGTGTAGATGACAGTAGTTTCCTACTTTTCAATATAATAAGGCCGTGTGATTTTAAAATGTTTCTTGTTTCCCTTGAATGTATGTCCTCATAACAAAATTCCCCTACCTAGGTGGCCTTCTACTGTGTGCAATTAAAGGTACAAATCAGTGTTACCAACATTGAGGTTCTAAAAATTCATGGCGAGCTGCACAGTGCGCTCCATGAGAGAGCAGGGGATAGCCTTGGCCTGGGCCTCAAAAAGAACTTGATTTAGAGGAGTAGGAAGAAGACATGAAGACATCCATGCCATGGAGGAAGCCAAGGTTGAAAGGCCGGGAGAGATAGTTCAATGTCATGCCCTGGGTGCAGCCAGGATGTTCGGGCCCCATCTACGGGGAATGAGCAGAGCTTGGACTTCAGGGCTGGCGTGAGCACTGCCCGGCCACTGTTCTATGAGCCTGGAGAGAGGAGCCGCTGTTTCATTTGTCTTCTTCACCTTTCTGTGATGATGGAAATAACACAATCAGAAATTAGTGAGAGGCGAAGAACAGGAGGGAGTTCCCAAGATATCTGACTTAGATGAGGGGATATGATGAGCAGGGGTGGACATCAGGGTCGGGTCAGACATAGCACCATCCCCAGGCCTGCTATCCCTGTGACTGGGACAGAGAACAGCATTTACTTTTCCCCAGCTTCTGGAAGTTGCCTGACAGCTAGTCCTTGTGTAGATGCTGTTGGCCAAGGTTGGTCTATCCGAGAATCCCATTTAACCAAAGGAAGCCTCACAGCCTCTGGCCAGGGCAGCTGCATCACACTAGTTGCAGCAGAGGTGGGAGGGGAGCCAGTTCCAGTACAGGGTGAGCTCAGCAAAGGGAGGGGCTTCCCCAGAGCCCAGGTGTTCCTTGCACATCTCCCTTCTGACCCATAAGACATCACTTTGCCGGTTTCTCTGAGACAGGCTTGGAATCATCTGTCTCACAGTCTGTGACCTGCCATAATGGGTGGAAGGATTCTGGCCCTGGCTGGTCACTGTGAAGGCAGGGGCCCTGTCCTTCTTCTTCCTTCTCATCCCAGAGCTTAGCCCTGGGCAGCCCATCTTGGGGGCCCCAGTGATGTTCTAGTGCACACAGCCCTGTGCTGAGCAAGCACGAGTGTGAAAAGGCTTCCTGGTCACCCTCTGCAGTCTGCTGAGTCCCACACGAATGCAGGTTCCTGTGTGGGTTCTGATTCAGGGTCAGGGAGAAGTGCGTGGGCTCCCCTCCGTGTTTGCTGCTGTTGTCCCGTCTGCTCCTGAAGTCTGCAACTAAGGATTAAAATAATAAATATTGTGAATAGCTCACCATCATGGCTTAAAGTCCAATAAAATGGATGTTAACTGCAGTAGGAGCATAGGTTTATTTAGGAAAGTTAAGTGATATAGTAACCTTTTTATAAAAAAGAGGATACTTACCAGGCCTCTTTCTGTGCAGAGACCCTGTCCTGGAGTTATAACATGCACTTGTGTGCTGCCTCCGTGAACACTGCCTACTTCATAGGGATGAAGGTGGCTTAGCCAGAGACCCGAGGCTCTGTCCCCCAGGGCTCTCCTGATGGTGTCCTTTGCCTTCCTTCACCACCAAGGAGGGTGGCCCAGTGGCAGCTCAGCCCCTGCTCTTACCCCACCTCCTTTGCACATGCCAGCCCTGTGTCCTCAGCACCCAGGGCTGCCAGAGGGCCTTCAGCAGCTCCCACGGCTGACAGTGACTCTGTGTTTCCTAGATTTCAAAAAGGAAGTGGCAGGAATGTTTGGTGTGATGAGCCCAGAAGCTGCCATAGCTCTTTATTGGGTAAAGTCTTTATTCTTTGTCTGAGATGGGAATTTTATTTCTCTTGGTTTCTTTCCACTTCATTTGAATTATGACACGCAAATCTCACCATGGAAATTATAGACGAATTGCAGAATTTCTTGGTGGGCAAATGTAAGTAAGAGTCCATTACCAACGAAGAACTGGTTCAAGACGGCACCCACAGATGACAGCTTTAGTGACAAACTGCATGGCAGAGCATTTTCCTCATGGGAAATGCATATTTTTAAAAAATCATGGTGACTCTGCAACTAAAATCGTTTTGAAAATCTTCATGAAACTTTTGTACCTTTCCACAAGTGTCCTTTAGGCTTTATTTTCTGGCCATGGCCTCAAGCACTGTTTCCTGTCTGAGTGTTTAATGTCATCATGTAAACAAAAGACCTGTGCACACAGGACACAGCATGGTCTGATGCTCACAGTGTTTTCCTTTCTGCAGAGGAACGCAGCTTCAGAAAGTGACCTGAACTCAGGTACTCTGGGTTCATTCCTTTGCTAAGGAAATATCTTAGTGTTGAGAAACTGACACTTTTCTCCCTGCTTTGGCTGGAGAGCCACCCTAGTATGAGATTCCTGCTGGAAATGAGGTTTGGACAATTTGGTGTAAGAAAAATGAAAAGTTTAGTCAACACCTGTGGCCATCCACTCTAGTTCCCAGAAGCAGTGATGTCATTTAAATAGGAACAGGGGTGCATCAGGGTGGGGAGGCATGGAGGAGAGAGTCTGTGCGGAGTGATGGGGAATGTCTATGGGAGTGTGTGTGTGAATTTCTCTAGAAAGGCTGTTCCCCTGTTCAAAGCACAACATTAGAATGAATGTTCTAGAAACAAACGTCCATCCCCACTGGACACATCACATTAGTCAACCCTCATACTTTGCCATAGCTGTACAGGGAGGGGAGTTGAACATGCTGAGTTCTGAGATGGGAGAGGGTGGAGAGATGAATTACCCAGGCTGTCAATTTCCTGAATGAAATAGGCAAAGTGATCTCAGGAATGGGTGGTGAAGAGTGGAAGGAAGGGCTGAAACTCTGCATTAATCAGACAGCTCTGTTGGAAGTTCTCACCACACCAGGAAGTTTGAGCACGTGTGTGTGCATATAAAAATAGAGTATAGCCTTAAAAAATGGTTAGTGAGTAAATAGAATATTTTTATTACAATTCAGTCTTCTTTTTAAAGAAAGGCTGCTTGCTATTTTGTAGAAAACCTCTAAAAGGGATGATACTCACAGAAGCACCAGAGGTGTGTTCTTGGAGGAAATAAGCTTGGAAGGACTCAGGAAGAAGGGACAGGTGAGTTCAGGTCAGATGAGAAGGCAGGAGCCTGAAGAGCCTGCAGGGACACACAGCCTGCCCTGGGTGCTGTGCCCTGTTTGAGATGGACTATTTCACATTGATGAGGTGACCTGGGGCTAGAAAACCTCTCTTAACTGCTCCTCCACTGCACCTGCTGACAGTCACTATGTGTCTTTTTACTTCCCACAGAATGCAACCTGGTGGAAAAGTTCTCGTACCAATCCTCAGTTGAGGACGAGCCACCACAGGGGAAGGTCAGTCCACATGGTTTGGTTGGAGAAAAGGTTTCTCAACTTTATCCTTTTGAATTTCAGTACGGTAGGAGAATCTGACCCTATGTGTCATAGGTGATTTGTACAGTGTCTTTGGTGGGAAGAATTCTGAGTGAGAGTCTGTTCCCCACTGAGGCTTGATTTAAGACAGGAGGAGAAAACGGCAGCACCAGCCACGCACTTAGTGACAGTGAGCTTCCCCCTCTGCAGCTTGATTCCGTGCTTGGGGCAGAAGCACTTCACTGCCAAGTCACAGGACCTTGAGAGGGAATATCCTGCGAGAACGACGTTAGCGTGAGTCAGCTGTCCTGTCCTTCTTCTGTGTTCCTTTGACTTGGACACTCTTTCCCATCTGGTCTTCTAATGCCAACAATGAAGAAAAGACCTGTACACTCAAGCCTCAGGCTGGTCTGAAGCTCACGGTGTTTTTCTTTCCCTCCATGCAGGCAGAGGAACCCTCCAAGGAAAAAGGTGTGTATTCTGGGAGCGCTCCTCCGCTCAGGAAAGATCTTGAGTGTGGCAACAGGTGGCACTTACTCTCCTGCTTTTGCTGGGGGGCCGCTTTGGTTTGAGCTTCCTGACAGAAAGGAGATAGGGGCAGTTTGGTTTAAAAAACGCTGTCCATCCAGTAAAGAACCGTGACCATCCCCTCGAGTCCCTGGAGGCAGAATTGCCATTTAGATGGAATAGGGTGGTGTGCCTCAGGGAGATGAGGTATGGAGGAGACAGCCGTGTGCAGTGATTGGGAATGTCTTTGGGAGTGTATGCATGTTTTCCCAGAAAATTCAGAAAAACTGTCTAAAACATTGAATCGCTACTGCACATTTCACCTAAATTAATCCATTCATCCTCCACCATGGCTGTACCTGAAGGTAAATGTTATATCCTTACTCCTCAGATAGAGATGGTGCAGAGATGGATTTCCCAGGCTCTCAATCTCCCAAACGCAAGAGGCAAATGTGAACTCAGGAACAGGGGCGGCAGGGGGGGAGGATTGATGCCGTGGGTTACTATTGTGCATTCACCAGGCGGCCCTGGTAGAACTCGTCGTTATGCCAGGCAGTTCTGGCATCTGTTTGTGCATGTGGAAGGATAAGAGTCCTGAGAGGTCCCAAACACTGTCTGTCATTTTAGGGAAGTCTCAAGGGCTGCCTGACGCAGGTTATCAGTAGGTACATGTTATGCTGGACTTTTCTATGTGCATTTATTAATGTGAAACACAGAGAAGCGAGCTCACAGGTGGTTGGTGGTAGTGGTGGCATCATTCCTCAGCTCATGGTCTGAAGCAGAAAAATAATCAGGGACATACTCTATTGTGTTCAATAAGCCGTTTTTCACAAGCATTCGACATGCTCAGGTGTAGAGGTGTGGTTTGTTCTTTCTGCATGTTAATGAGAAATGGAAGGAGTTTTGTTTCCATGGGCGTCGTGTGTGCTCTGCTCATCCCCATAATTCCTTCCCTTGTGAGCAAGATGACCTTTTCCAGAAGGCCAGATCTCTCCTGCCTGTGCCACAGCAAACACCAAGGCCCTGGGTTTTGTGTGTGTGTGCGGGGGGAAGCGCGTAGTGTCCTTTGTGAATGGAGAACAAGAGATGAGTGTGTGGGTGTGGCATTGAGTACTGTATGGGGAGTTAGGTGGGACACAGCCCCTCACAGGTGCTCTGTGACCCTGGACACAAAGTCCTTCATGCATGTGCCAGGAAGTGGCAGGAGCCCACCCTCTCCCTCTGCACTCTGGGGACCTGCAGCAGCACCTTCCTGTCCAGCCCTCAGCATCTGCTCCTGGTCACAGGGAACTCCCTGGGTCTCCTGAAGTAGAGAATCCTCCTCTGGGATTACTCAGTGTGCCCCCATCCTAGAGACCCAAGGGGGGATCCCATGCTGGAGCACGGCTCTGGCCTCCACTTCTCACCCAGTCCCAAATCCTTGAGCTACAAATGGAAGCTGAATTGGTTTGGAGAATTCAGTGTCCAGCTGTCACCGAGGCCCTCTGTGGCCAGCAGGAATCCTAGGGTGTGTGTGTGAAGTGGCTGTGTGTTGCTGCAGGCTCACACCCTCCTTATAACCTGGTTCCTGGAATCCACTGGGCCCAGGACAGAGCCGCTGGGCAGCTGGCACCATGGTCACTTGTCTTGTCACACCCTCTGCTCTGGCCTGACAGCCTTGTCCTGCACCCCATGCTGCAGTCAGGCCCAGCTTGTTCCCTGTATCAGGGCTGCCAGGTGCCCTCCTGCCCAGTCCTCCCACAGCTCACACAAAACCTGGCAGGGCCCGTTCATTCACATGCTGAGAATCACAGCCTCGCTTGAGGATTAAGGCTGTGGGACAAGGGGCTTTCCCTAGAGTACTGTTACAGTGTTTCTAAGCTTTCAGAAGCTTATGGGATTCTTGTGAGGGTTGAGTATTTTCCAGGTCCCTAAGGTCATCCCAGGCATACAACAGTCACTCAATCTGTGACATCGGTTGTCACCCCGTCCCACAGGCCCCAATTCAGTCCCAGGCCTGTGGCAGGTGCTGCCCACCTAGGGTTTATGGAGGGCCTGGCAGTGCAGCCCTGCCCTTCCCTCCTGTGTTTTTTGTTGGAGAGCAGCGGGATGGGTGATCAACAGGGAGAAAAGACATGGGATTCATCAGAAGAGCAGAGACAGGCCCTAAAGGAGGAGGAGGGAGGGAATCACATACTGTGATCACATACTGTCCTGGAGATGGTGGTTGCCTCTTGGAGGAACTGGATGACATGGCCTTGGCCTTCCCTGCCTGGCACAGTAACAGGATGTGAGGGCTGGGAAAGTGTGTGGGAAGACAGAGGCTCCTCCCTTGCTGTAGGAAGTGATCCAGGCTGCAGAGAAGTCTCGAGATGAGCACACTGGAGCTGTGGGGTTGGCTCCGCAGCCTCAGGACAGCAGGGCCTGAGTGCCTCCTTGACTCTCACTCTCTCCTTTCCTTCCCATGGTTGCCCCATAATCACTGCTGCTCCCAACATTCTAAAGCTGCTGGAGCAGATATGGAAGAGGACAAAAGGGCAGACAACCATCAGCATGTAATTATCTCCTTCCTCCCCTCTCTCACCCTCTGACTCATGAACTCCTCTAGCTCTGGCCCTCTCCCTCTTTCCCTCTGTTATCCTCCTGAGGGACCTGGTCTCATCGTGGCCATCAACGCTCTGGGTCTTCAGGGCCTGTAAAGTCCCTCTTCAGCCCTCCTGCCCACTGCCTTGGCATTGCCCTGACTCCTGGCCCCAGGCTGCAGCGCTGAATCTTGTTGAGCAACTCCACAGGGTCCAGGCAGGAAACCGGGCTGGGGTCAGAAGATCTTGGCCCCACCCTACTGGAGGGGTTCCCAGTGACATCTGGGTCTGCTCTGGGGACCACCCCCCAAAGCTGCACTGGGGACTCTGGACATGCACAGTTGTTTTTCTCCTCTCAGATGTCAAAAAGTCCTCTCCATGCACCTGTGGAAAACACAGTAGAGACAAAGCCTGAACAGGCAGGAGAAATGTGAGTGTGCAGGGGCGGCATGACCAGGGGGAAGCAGACAGTGCCTGTGTCCCCATGTCTGCCCCACTCTCTTGCTATCCCATCAGAACACACAGCAACTTCAAGGAGGATGAGGATGCTGAAGAGCCTCACCTCACCTGTTGTGACCTTTGTTTGTCATGCTGCAAATTCCTATAGACAAGTGAAGGATGCCCAGAGAACATCCTCCAGGGAACACACCCTCTCCATAGCAGCCCGTGAGCCTGCTGGGCTGAGCCCTCCACAGGCTGCTCTAATGAGGGAGAGGCTGAGGTGCTGGTCCAGCTACCACATGCAGGATTCCAAGGCCATGCACCATGCTTTTGTCTGCAGTGCCACTGAAGCTCATTTGAGGGGACCCAGCCATGCCCTCCCAGACCCCTGAAGCCCACAGGGAGCATCACCAATTCATCATGAGCAGACATTGGAGCTGACCATGAACCCCCAAGTTTCATGCTTCCTAGGAAAGGTGTGAGAGGGAGGGAGGCACCCCCAGGCTTTGCCATGCCAGCAAGCAGCCCACCCAGCCCAGCACTGGACACCTGCAGGCACTCAGTAGGTCCTGGTGTCAAGTAGGTGAAAAGCCAGGATCCAGAACCCCCTGGGGTGTGCCCAGTCCCAGCAGCCCCTCAGCCTCCATGGAGCCCTGGGTTCTGGGGTGGCCTCCTGGTCCCATTTCTCAAGATGAGGTTGGAGGCTTCTGTGTGTAGAGAGCACTGACTTGGGAATCGATGGTTCTGTGTCTGTGTCTGATGCCAACAAAAGAAACTGTAAGGCTGGTTGCCTTGCCGGGAGTCAAACTTACATGTTCATCACTCTCTGCACCTGATAACTGCGTCATCACCCCAACTCATTATCTGGCCTCACCACATAGCTTCTCCTGCACCTGCCTCTGCATACCATACCCAAGCCCATACTCAGCACTAAATTATGCATCCAACCTCCAGCCCACTGTTAAAAAACCCTGCAGAAAAATTTTTAAAGAAGCCCCACCATACCATACCCTGCCCAACAACAGCCTGCCCTGTACACCCCCGGCAGGCCCACTTACCCAAGGTCCCACCCACCTACCAATGGCAGCTAGTTTCATGTACTTCCGACTTTAACTCCATGTACTTCCTGCTCCTCAGCAGCCAATAGAAATGCCTTCTCTTTGTTTCCCCAGTAGCCAATCAATTGCCTGCCCTCCCCATAAAACCCCACACCCTGAACAGCCAGGTGTGACTTCTCCGGCCCCACCCTGGACCACAGAACCTTGCCTGGGAGCTGAATAAATTAGCTTCTCACTTCCTTATACTTGCCTCAGTTTCCTCATTTTACCTCTGCAATAAATCTTACAGAAACCTCTGAAGACAAGTCAGGGCAGTGGTCACTTGGGAGGAGTTGAGGAGCATAATTCAGGGTGCCACTGCTTTAAATGTATTTTCCTATTTGAAATTAACATATACATATGAACGTGTGTTTTATACATATATATATACACACATATATATATAATACACTACACACACACACACACACCCTGTTTTTTATTCTTTAAAAAGTAGTGTTTTCTGTAATCCTTTCATGTTGGAATGTATTACGTGGGAAATGTGTGTTTTGCTAAAGCATAATGATTTCCTGAATGAAAATGCACAGACAGGGTTGGTGGGGTGTTGGAAGGACCAAGTATTCTTAGGCCGTAATGATGACATGCTCCAGGAAGCTGCACACATTTAACGTGCAGTTCTTCCATCTGGATGGCATGGAGGGTCCAGGGGGAGGGCAGGTCACCACCCCACTCTGTGTCATCAGACCTCCTGCTCCTCTCAGGGCCTGAGGGCATAGTACTCTGCCTGTGGATCCTTGAGCCTCCCTCTCCTTCTGCATCTGTTTCAGTATCAGGGGTCCAGCTCCCTGAAGGTGCCTGTGTGCCTGCCTGGGCTCAGTGCCTCCTGTAGGACATTTATAGACACTCTCTGTACACAGGCAACCCCATCACAGAGAGCAGCACGCAGGCCTCAGAGCCCTGTGGATGGACTCTGGGGAGGCCAGGGGCCCAAGGTCACCTTCCAGGGCCCAAGGAGCCCTCTGAGACCTGCACACCCACCCCAGGGAGCCCCTCCTCCCTCCTCCTCTGTGCCCCCCAATAACCCTCGCACCTCTGTCTGTGTTGCAGATTTTTATTTTTCTCGTGTGTGTGTGTGTGTGTGTGTGCAACATGACTGTTTATTCACCTGGGTTCAGGGGAGCTAAGACTGAAAAGGGTGTAGGAGTTGGTTTTATAGGTTTGTGGTAAACAGTGGAAAGTTACAGAAGTAAGTTTAGGGCAGTTCTTTGTAAGTTGGGAGGGATTGTAGGGTGTGGAGGTTGACCAAGGTCGGTTACAAAGTCCAATGGCCTTGTCAACTGGGGCAGGAATATGGAACAATAGAGAAGTCTTGAAGGTAAGGTCTCAGGGTTTGATAATTTCTTCCTCTTTTCATGGTCTTCCTATTACTTTAGATTTTCCAGCAACTAATCTGGAGTGTTCGTGCAGGTTGCAGAGTTTAACATGGCATCTATGGGGCCGTCCTGTCTTTTTCCTCTGCAGTAAGAGTTATTGGAAGCTCGGCGTGCGTGATGGTCCAGGGGGCCTCGGAGATGTTCGGGCAGCGTCAGTCTTCACCCGCCAAGCCAATTCGGGTCTGGGAGCTTTGGGAACAGTGACAGGAGTAGGACAGTCCGACTCTCCATGGGGACCCTGCACAGAAGGGGCAGGGCTTAGGAGGAATTTCGGGCTGCAGGCATTCCTTGGCCCAGTGGCCAGGTTTCTGACACTTGAAGCAAGGTCTGGGCACTTTGAAATCTTTGTGAGCTGGTGGTGTGGCTGAGGTTTGTCTTATAGCAGAGGCGGCATCTGTAGTTCTGAGATGCACGGCCTCCCACAGACCCTTCCCTATTATTGACCACCTTAAAGGTGAGGTTGGTTAATTCTTGTTGTGGAGTTTGAGGGACAGATCCTAATTTCTGTAGCTTTTTTAATGTTAGGGGCTGACTGGGTGATAAAATGCATATTAAACATTCGCTAGGGGTGAGAGTAGATGTAAAGATGACATTTAAGTTACTCCAGGTGAGGTTATAGGACTGGGTTAAGTATTGGAGAATCTGATGGAAAGGAGCCTAAACAGTGGCTGATTTGGGAAAGGTTGGATAAAGGGAAGGAACCTGCACCCTAACTATGCCTTTGGCTCCAGCCACCTCTGGAAGCGTTGCAGATTTTTCAAACATCTGGAAGGGCCGAGACACAAGACCTCACCCTGGCCCAGCCACCATCTGGATCCTGAGAGTTTTGGGGATTGTGCTACACTTTCTGGACTTTTATATTTTCTTGTTTAATTTTTTAAAAAATATTCTTACTTTAGGCTGGGCATGGTGGCTCACACTGGTAATCCCAGCACTTTGGGAGGCCGAGGTGGGCATATCACTAGGTGAAGAGATTCAGATCATTCTGGCCAAGACGGGGAAACCCCGTCTCTACAAAAAATACTTAGCCAGGTGTGGTGGCGGGCACCTGTAGTCCCAGCTACTCAGGAGACTGAGGCAGGAGAATCACTTGAACCCAGGAGGCAGAGGTTGCAGTGAATCCAGATTGTGCCATTGCATTCCAGCCTGGTGACAGAACTAGACTCCATCTCAAAGAAAAATTCTTACTTTAATCTGCTTTTTGTAAGACACAAGCTGTCATTGTGTCATTGTAGCTTACATTTTATTCCTTAAGCGATTGTTCAATTGGGTTATTAGTGTTTTGTGATTTTTGTCCAATTCTTCTGGAATTTTTGTAATTTTGATAGATGTTTTATACTTTGTTTCTTTTCTTAATGACTTTTACTTTAGTTTTTAATGAATACATGGTACAGTAAGTTATAGTAAGAGATAGTATTTTTATCTATCTCTTAAGTAAGAGATAGTTTTTTGGTAGTTTATACTCTGTCCACATTTTAACATATGTAAGTGTCAATGGCCAGGCATGGTGGCTCACACCTGTAATCCCAGCATTTTGGGAGAAAAAAAAAATATATATATATATATATATATGTATATATACATACACAGCACACACACACATATACATATTATGATATATGTATACATATTATATATATTATATTTGTATATATGTTTTTATATATAATACATAATACATATTTTATATATACTATATATTTTTGGCATGTATATTTCTGTTTATATATATATATTTATATATATATAAAATACATAAATGTATATATTTATATACTATATATAAACATATTAAAATATATAATATATAAAACATATATAAAAATGTTAAACATACAGAATATATTATATATATAAAATATTCATAATACACATATATAAATATATATGTATATTTTTATATGTAAAGTATACAGTATGTATATTATATAAAATATTAAATATATTTATATATTATATATGTACTATGAATATTTTATATATATAAAATATACATACTACATACATAACACATATATATTATATGTGTATTACATATTTTATATAAAATTATATAATACATACATAATACATGTTATATACATATATATAATATATAGAAAATATAGGCCCAGCAGCAATGCATTGAGACACTCAGGTGGTGAGAGCCACCGCTGCACTTCCGCCACCGTGACCTTACACTTCGAGGTGGAGCTGAGGAGAGAGAGGCGACCCAGAACTGAACAAAAGACTTCGTTTGGTTCACCACGCTGCCGAAGAGATGGATGGCTATATGTGTGTGCGCTAGAGTCAAAACATGATTAGAAAGTGAAATGAGGCCATAACAGAGAGAGTCCACCACTACAGAGGCAGGCCATCACCACCACAGCAGCTCTAACCACACCCATATAAACAGGACTATAGGGAATTACACACCGCAGCAGGATGGAGCCCACAGCAACAGGGCGGCACCCACAACAGCAGGGCAGAGCCCACAGCAGCGCAGCATAGCCACTACAGGCAAGCAGTGATTAGACTGCGTCCTTGCTGGGCAGGACAGTACAACGGATACTCATAAATAAAGCCCTAACTCCCCGGGAGAGAGCACCTGTGGGAAAAAAAGGGGCTTTATGAGTTCTGCTGCAGCAGACTTAAACATACCTGCCTAGCAGCCCTGAATGAACAACGGAGCTCACAGCTCAGCACTTGAGCTCCTATAAAGTACAGACTGTCTCCTCAGTATAAAGTACAGACAGTCTCCTCAAGCAGCTCCCTGACCCCCATATATCCAAAGAGTCACCTCAAAAAGGACTGATCAGACTGACATTTGGCTGGCATCATTCAGGGACAAAGATAGCAGAAGAAGAAATGGGTAGCAACCCTCACGTTTCTGCAGCTGCTACAGGTGTACCCCAGGCAAGCAGGGCCTGGAGTGGACCCCAGTAGTCCTACAGCAGAGGGGCAAGACTGTTAGAAGGAAAACCAAGAAACAGAAATACTTCATCATCAACAATCTGGGCATCCATTCAGAGACCCAATTGGAAAATCAGCAACTACTCAGACACCAGGTGGATAAATCCACAAAGATGGCAAGAAACCAGTGCAAAAAGGAAGAAAACACCCAAAACCAGAACACCTCACCTCCTACAAGGGACCACAACTCCTCACCAGCAAGGGAACAAAGCTAGATGAGATGAAATGACAGAATCAGACTTCAGAAGGTGGGTAATGAGAAACTTCTGTGAGCTAAAAGAACACGTTCTAACTCAATGCAAAGAAACTAAGAACCTTGAAAAAAGATTTGAGGAAATGATAACAAGAATGGACAACTTAGAGAGGAATATGAGTGAATTGAAGGAGCTGAAAAACACAACACGAGAACTTCGCGAAGCATGCACAAGTTTCAACAGCCGAATTGACCAAGCAGAAGAAAGGATATCAGAAGTCAAAGATCAACTCAATGAAATAAAATGAGAAGCCAAGATTAGAGAAAAAAGCACAAAAAGGAAAGAACAAAGTCTCCAAGAAATGTGGGACTATGTGAAGAGACCTAATCTATGTTTGATAGGTGTACCTGAATGTGACGAAGAGAATGAATCCAAGCTTGAAAATACTCTTCAGGATATTATCCAGGAAAACTTCCCCAACCTAGCAAGGCAGGCCAATATTTAAGTCCAGGAAATACAGAGAACACCACAAAGATATTCCGCAAGAAGAGCAACCCCAAGGCACATAATCGTCAGATTCACCAGGGTTGAAATAAAGGAGAAAATGCTAAGGGTAGCCAGAGAGAAAGGTTGGGTCACCCACAAAGGGAAGCCCATCAGACTTACAGCAGATCTCTTGGCAGAAACCCTACAAGACGGAAGAGAGTGGGGGCCAATATTCAACATCCTTAAAGAAAAGAACTTTCAACCCAGAATTTCATATCCAGCCAAACTGAGCTTCAGAAGTGAAGGAAAAATAAAATCCTTTGCGAACGAGCAAGTACTCAGAGATTTTGTCACCACCAGGCCTGCTTTACAAGAGCTCCTGAAAGAGGCACTACACATTGAAAGGAACAACCAGTACCAGCCATTCCAAAAACATACCAAATGCTAAAGAGCATCAACAAAATGAAGAATCTGCATCAACTAATGGGCAAAACAGTCAGCTAGCATCAAAATGGCAGTATCAAATTAACACATAACAATATTAACCCTAAATGTAAATGGGCTAAATGCACCAATCAAAAGACACAGACTGGCAAATTGGATAAAAAGCCAAAACCCATCAGTGTGCTGTATCCAGGAAACCCATCTCACATGCAAGGATACACGAAGGCTCAAAATAAAGGGATGGAGGAAGATTCACCAAGCAAATGGAGAGCAAAAAAAAGCAGGAGTTGCAATTCTCGTCTCTGATAAAATAGACTTTAAAGCAACAAAGATCAAAAGAGACAAAGAGGGACATTACATAATGGTCAAAGGATTGATACAACAAGAAGAGCTAATGATCCTAAATATATATGGACCCAATACAGGAGCACCCAGATATATAAGGCAAGTTCTTAATGACTTACAAAGAGACTTAGACTCCCACACAATAATAGTGAGAGACTTTAACACTCCACTGTCAATACTAGACAGATCAACCAGTCAGAAAATTAACAAGGATATCCAGGACTTGAACTCAGACCTGGAACAAGCAAACCTGATAGACATTTACAGAACTCTCCACCCCAAATCCACAGAATATACATTCTTCTCAGCACCACATCACACCTAGTCTAAAATTGACCACATAATTGGAAGTAAATCACTCCTCAGCAAATGCAAAACAACTGAAATCATAACAAAAAATCTCTCAGACCATAGTGTAATCAAGTTAGAACTCAGAATTCAGAAACAAACTCAGAACCGCACAGCTTCATGGAAACTGAACAACTGGCTCTTGAATGTTGACTGGATAAACAATGAAATGAAGGCAGAAATAAAGAAGTTCTTTGAAACCAATGATAATGAAGACACAACATACCAGAATCTCTGGGACACATTTAAAGCAGTCTCTAGAGGAAAATACATAGCAATAAGTGCCCACATGAGAAGAGTGGAGAGATCCAAAATTGACACCCTAACGTCAAAATTGAAAGAGCTGGAGGAGCAAGATAAAAAAAAAACTCAAAACCTAGCAGAAGACAAGAAATAACTAAGATCAGAGCAGAACTGAAGGAGATAGAGACACAAAAAAAACCTTCAAAAAATCAATAAATCCAAGAGCTGGTTTTTTGCAAAGATCAACAAAATAGACATACCACTAGCCAGATTGATAAAAAAGAAAAGAGAGAATAACCAAATAGATGCAATAAAAAACTATAAAGGGGAAATCACCACAGATTCCACAGAAATTCAAACCATCATCAGAGAATATTATGAACGACTCTATGCATATAAACTAGTAAACCTGGAAGAAATGGATAAATTCCTGGACACTTGTGTCCTCCCAAGCCTAAACCAGGAGGAAGCTGAAACTATGAATAGACCAATAACAAGGTCTGAAGTTGAGGCAGCAATTAAGAGTCTACCACACAAAAAAAGCCCAGGTCCAGATGGGTTCACAGCCAAATTCTACCAGACGCACAAAGAGGAACTGTTACCATTCCTTCTGAAACTATTCCAAATAATCCAAAAAGAGGGAATCCTTCCCAAATCATTTTATGAGACCAACATCATCCTGATACCAAAACCTGGCAGAGACTCAATAAGAAAAAAAACTTCAGGCCAATATCCATGATGAACATAGATGCAAAAATCTTCAATAAAATACTGGCAAGCCGATTGTAACAGCACATCAAAAAGCTTATCCACCATGATCAAGTAGGATTCATCCTGGGGATGCAAGCCTGGGTCAACATACGCAAGTCTGTGAACATAATTCACCACATAAACAGAACCAAAAACAAAAACCACATGATGATCTCAATTGATGCAGAGAAGGCCTTTGACAAAATTCAACAGTGCTTTAACTCCTATTTGATATAGTACTGGAAGTTCTAGCCAGAGCAATCAGGCAAGAAAAAGAAATAAAGGGTATACAAATAGGAAAGGAGGAAGCCAAGTTGTCTCTATTTGCAGACGACATGATAGTATATCTAGAAGACCCCATCATCTCAGCCCAAAAACTCCTGAAACTGATAAGCAACTTCAGCAAAGTCTCAGGATATAAAATCAATGTGCAAAAGTCACAAGCATTCCTATACACCATAATAGACTTAAAGAGAGCCAAATCAAGAACAAACTGCCATTCACAATTGCTACAAAGAGAATAAAATACCTAGGAATACAACTAACAAGGAACATAAGGGACCTCTTCAAGGAGAACTACAAACCACTGCTCAACGAAATAAGAGAGGACACAAACAGATGGAGAAACATTCCATGTTCATGGTTAGGAAGAATCAATATTGTGAAAATGGCCATACTGCCAAAGTAATTTACAGACTAAACGCTATCCCCATCAAGCTACCATTGACTTTCTTCACAGAACTGGAAAAAACCACCTTGAACTTCATATGGAACCAAAAGAGAGCCTACATAGCCACGTCAATTCTAAGCAAAATGAACACAGCAGGAGGCA